CGAGCTCTATCCAGTAAAAGCAGGGTCTCGGTGCTATGACACGGGTACTGCGCAAGGTAAAGGAAGTCGAGAAGACCGCGTACGGCCTTGAGGAGGCGAGATGAAGCAAGGTTTCCAAGAAGTCGAATGTCGATGATGATACCAAGAAGGAATCGGCATGTTCAGTACTGCTAAGACGTGAGAGGCTGAGAGCATCACATTATCATATTTATTATTTGCTCTTATATAGGAAAGGAGTTTTACACGATTCTTCAAGAAAAGATTTCATCATCGCTTGAACTCAGAGTCGAAGGAAAGGTCTAACAAAAGCTACTGGTTGATCTACATGAATCAAAATGGCCACATCAGTGGTAGGGTTCAAAATATCCAGATAAAGACTAACACACGTTGCAGTTTATTCCTATGCATAGATTGGTGCCCGGTTCGTGAGTTTTGAATGTCGTTTAATCACAAAATGGCTACGGCACTTTTTTTTACCTACCTTGCGTCTGTTACAATTTTAGTTCTGCGTTGTCTATCAGGAAGTCAGCGACTGGTGTTTTGGCGCCGCAATCACGTTAGGTGCCAATTGTCACTAAGATCCAACCAAGAACTTCTCCATGGCATATCGATTCGAATTACACGTTGAGCAGAAGGCAGACTTCCGTTCAGGTATTAGAAATACAGGGTGACTATGAGTACACATACGGAGTCAATGCGCACAGCTGTCGCAGAAAAAATACACGACTGAAATCTATCACGCTCGTGTGACAGGGGGAGACATCGGAATACTCTGTATATTCTCCGTCTTCGCCCTCGTAAGCCTGCGATCCGAGGGATCGTATGAGCGGGCGCATTGCAGCATATAAAGGTCTGCTTACTCATCAAAATGGGTGCCTCTCTTTGGATCGGCTCGTCGCTTGGCAAGTACTTTCCTGACCTTTCTCTCCGGGCGAACGACAATGATGGGCACGGGTGAATTAGAGAGACAATACTTTGACACGCTGCCCACGCCTGGCGCACCGAACGCCGCACCCCAGGCTTGCATCATGCCGCGCTGGCCTTTCGAGCCCACTACGATTGAGTCTGGGCGGTACAGAGCAATTAGCCGCTCGAGCGTTGTAGTGACTTTGCCAGCAATAAGCTCGACGATGATGGAGAGCTACGATAAACACAATGAAAAGTCATGCCGTAACGATAAGTACCGCCTACCTTCCGCTCTGGATCGTACTCGATACATTTCTCCTGAATCTGGCGCATAAGTTCACGAGCTTCTTCTCGAACGACTTCATGATCCTTCTCTAAGTTGTGATTTAACATTCCCAGAAGTCCAGATAATATGAGCCACCTACCTAAATCCTCTGGATCGACGCCTCTGAAGACGATCAACTCATCCCCGTCTTGCACCAAGCTTTCCAGCGCCCAGTCAAGGGCGTAACGTCCGCTCTCATCTGGACTCGACGCACAAAGAAACACCCTCGTCGCTCTGCTCCTAGCGTATCCATCTGATTGCACGTGCAGGGTAAATGAGAACATGGAAGCAGCGGGATTTTCGAATGTGTCGAACGACACTTTTGGTGTGTAACCTTGTCCGGCGACAGATTGAACGGTGTTCTGCTGCATGTTCATTGACGGGGACCGAGAGAGCGATGTTGAAGAGGACGCGAGGGGCGGCAGTCGCGATGTCGAAGCCGGTAGTGTAAGGAACGATGAGGGAAGAGGGGACAACAGTGGCGACGACGGCAAGGATGATAACGGGAGCAAGTAGGGTGAGCCCGGCTGGGATGATTGCTTTAGTGCCGAGCGTAACATTATTGGAATGTGAGTGTGCTGTTCGGCTGACATGGCGGTAAGACTAAGGATTATTTATCAATTTTGTCGATAAGGTGGTACATAGCCAACGTACCAAAAATAATAATCACATTATTAACTCTCACCTGACTTTGATCTCCAACTCTCATGTCGGCTTCCCGTTCAGCTAGTCCTACGGAAGAGGAAGATAAAGAGCAGGTTGAGCAGCGCACGGAAGCGACACCCGAGTCCACTGGCGAGTCAACCTCCCCAGAGGCGTCTGCTGAACCTTCAGATACAGACCAGGACACCACATCCGCTCACGCTTCCCTCCCAACCGCGGGATCATGGCAAGCCATATGGTCTCCTCAGCACAACACCTATTACTTCTACAACTCAGAAACCAAAGAAACGACTTGGATAAACCCAATTCAACCTGCTACCTCTGAATTAGAACCCCCCTCGTCTTCCACCTCCCAATCTGGCCCTTCCACAACAATAGACTCCCACTACGCAGCGCTACAAGCAAACGCGGTGGCGCAGGGTATTGATCCATCCTTAGCCCATCTTGATCCGTCGCTTGCTTCCTCGTCTGGTGTTCCTAGCAATTTTATGTACACCGCAAAGTTCAATGCGAGGACTGGCGCTTTTGCGAAGGTGGATAGTCGCGATCCTACTCACTTGTCAGAGTATGAGCGTGCTAAGCGCATGAGCGAGTTCTACTTCGACGTTGGTGCTTGGGAGAGGGATGTCGAAGCTCGTAACAGGGCTGAGGTTGAGGCCGAGGCCGAGGGAGAAGGCAAGAAGAGAAAACGTCCAACGAAGAAAGACCTGGTAAGATCAGACATATGGATTCCATTCATATCGGATGTTGATTTTCATTTTACAGGAGCGTTTCAAGGAACAGAAGAGATTAAAGAAGATCGCGAAGACAGCATGGCTTCGAACATAGGCACCCTACATACTGCCGTATTAGAAGCACAAATTCAAAGCAGTTGGCAGCAGTATAAAGAAAGCGCGTCAGCTGGATTGTCAGTGTTCAATAGTACAATCGCCTTGAGGTCTACGATGATATAATTCCTAGTAGCTACCACCTGGCGATATCAACATAATTAGCGTCCACTGGTATGTCCATTGTTATGCCTCATTTTTTGACGATGCCCTATGTCGCGAATACGCCAATGATCTTGAAAGGAGGGACACTTTGCCCCTCCTCTCCAAGTAGCACGCACTCGACATAGTGTGATCCTCTCGTGACAGATTGATCAATCACCGCAAGACTTGATGAGCCATTAATGACCGCACACAAACGAAAATAAAACAGGACACTCACGTCGGTACCCCCTCACCAACGTCTCCTGCATTTTCTATGACCACTCTACCTCTGACATTATCATCCACCCAACATTCAATCTCACTTCCTTCCCCAATCCGGCTGATAGGCTCCCTCAAGAAATAAATCCCGACATCTCCAGCGCCTACTTTGATAGGTACACGCAACCTACTCGTAGGCAGCGAGCTATACCAATAATATCCAGCAGTAAGTAAAGGAGAGGACCCTGCCGGAGGATGCGCCGCTGTCCAACCAGACCCGAAGAAAAGTGACGGAGGTACGGGGTTCACGAGGTCATTAGCAGATGCACAAAACGGCGCGACCTCTTCGAATGATTGCGAATCTCTGGGGCGCGTATTAATTCGAACAGGAGGAATTCGTAGTTCGGGGTAGATCGGTACAGGCTGAGATCCTGCTTGGGCAAGAGCTAGTGCGTGTTTCTTCTCGGCTTCTGCACCGTCATCTACCGGGCGTGGCGGTTCTGGAACCGCAGCACCTTTCCTTGCGCCCACGCCGCCAAAGAGATGCGTATCTGCACCTGGGAGGTAGCCATGTGACATCATGATAGGAATGGTATCGTACGAGTGGCCACCCGCCGTTGACCACGCGGCGCATATCTGGGATTGAAAGTACGATACGAGAACATCAGTGAGAAGTTCATGACCTGTCGGAGTCGCAAGGATGGGGTCCGCAAAGTAAGGCTTGATAAAGTCAGGATTTGACATGTAAGACGGATATAGTATGGGTTTGACGCTTTACATAGGTGTCAGAAATTGTTCTTTTGACAAGTGATGAAATTGTACCTGATATGTGGCACGTCGTAGAACTGTGCGACGACATTGTGCCAGTGATCAGGTCCTGCAAAGCCATATGTCTGATGTGTCTGTGGACTAAAATGCCCCAGAATGATAACTGCAGGTTGATCAGGGCGGTCCAATATTGAGCGAACCAGTAACTCGAAATGATCCATTGCACGCTGGGTGCTGGTAAAATTTAGATACCGCATAACACTTCAGCTAGAGATCTGTGCTTACCCTTCATCGTCGACGTCAAATTCGAGTATCACCAAGTCGGTGATCTCTGGGATATGATGTGAGCTACAAAATCCGAAGTACCCTGAGTTTGTTCGCCTCATAGCACCGTTGGTAAGCTCTGAAGCCGGATGAGGGAAAACGCTCGACCACCACTGGAAAAAGCGCGAAGGATAGCATCCAGAAGACAATGGATCATCTCCTGCTGCATGACATGCAGATACTACGCAATTACGCCATCAAGACGGGTTCTTTTACGAGATAAAGAACACGTACCAGAACCACCAAGCACACTGATAGTCACAGGTTGACCCAAAAGCGCTTTATGGATGACCCGATGCACCCTCCCCCCACTCCCCAAATGCAACCGACTCTGCGCCAACGGCACCACTCCATACTTATTCGCAACCTCATCCCTAGGCCCAAACACAGGACAAAAGTCAAACGGGTTCGCAGCATCGGATGAATTGCCGATAAGGTAGTTCGCCTCATGCAGGTAATTCTTTGGTATGAGACCTTCTGTCGTAAATGACCCGCCCGTATGGTTTGAGAAGGATATAAACCGCGATAGCGCGATGAGTAGGATGAAGCCAAGGATGATGGCCCATATTCTATTAGTGACGCCTAGCACCCTTTGATTCCACCTGTTAGCGTGCTTAGTAGAATTTGGGCCCATGCCCGTCAATCGGTGCTGATTGGGAGGGGAGATGCGTGCTAGACCCTTCCTAGAACCTGAGCGTCGTTGCATAAAACCGATGAGACGAAAAAGAGAAAAATACCGTCGAGGCTGCCGAAATACGAAGCAAAGGAAGCTATATGCTTGCTTAACTCCGCGTAAAGGTTATTAGGGACGAGAGCCAAAATAATGGACACTGTGGGAGTTGAACCCACGACCTCACGCAATCTACTTATGCGAAGCGTGCGCGCTACCAACTGTGCCAAGTGCCCTTTACGACACGCTAGTTTGTGCTTTTCCTGATGGCCTCCACCGGGCACCTTTTCCCTGGCGGTGACGAAGAGCATACTTTAAACACTCCAACAATGAAATTCGAAAGGAGTCTTCTAAGAGTAGACGACAGCATGAGGGGAGATCTCGATGCAAAGCAAGGTATCACACCAACGGAATGAAATAATAACAATTTGTACTAGAGGCTAGAATGAAAGCCATACAACGTAGAACTATACACCGATATGAATAAAAACCATCCTCTGCTCAAGCGGCACTTTTGTCTTCACGGCGTGTGTAGCACAGTTTAGCACAGTTGAGTGCCCAGGCCGCCTTCGTAGGGTCCATGACACCGCCCTCCTTCGGATTGAACATATATTTGTAAAAAGCTTTGACGATGTGTTTTGCGACAGCATCGTCCACCTCCCACAGCGTGCCAACGACGCTCTTGAACCCTGAAAACTGGAGACCAACTGCGAGATGAATGACTTCGTCGGGCGTCTCTTCATCCCCGACAGCGGTATGACATGCTGATAAGAATGCAAACTCAGCGCGTGGAATATCTTTGTCTATGATATCGAGTAGCGTCAGATGTTCGTCTCTCATGACGAAATGGGAATTGTAAGGTTGCACAGGGTCCTCCTTGCCATGACAAGCGAGGTGCACCCAGGTGTTCTCTTCCAAAGCTTGGAGTGCACCTGCTCGTGTGGCTGCATCACCAGAAATGATAGTATGGGTGGCAGTCGCAGGGACGAGCTTATGGACAAGGTCGAGCTCGCTGTCGACAGCTGAGAGTGCCTTGCCTTTCCCTGCACCAGGTTGACCTTGTCCAATCGCCACGAAGGACGGAGACACGCGCTTCTTCATCATCCGTCTAGATCTGATCAGAGCCGAAAGCGTCGGCGTGTAAGAACAGATGTAGAGATCCTCCAGGCATGGCTCCTTAGAGCGATCTGCCTTTGTTTGAAAAGGGTTAGCTGCATGGAGAGGAATGGACGTGAAAGCTGCAGTTGGACACAGCCAGATTCGAGAGCGGCGCTTTAGTTTGACGACATTCTCGAGTACGTTGACGATGGGCAGCATGATCTCGTCCCATACTGTCCGCCAGAGTACTATCAGATCCGTCCTCGACTCTGCTGGGTCCATCCGAGACGCGTGTCGTATTGCCCTGGTGAAGCGATCCTTGAGAGTCTTCAGATCTGCGAGAGTGATAGACGACAAGGGAACATGATGGGGGTCTCCTGATGTCGGGACGATGATGGCGCTGCATGAGTATTGACTGGCAATGAGGATGATGACTGGGCCATGACGCGCTGCAGCTTGCAAATTTGCGTACGACGGTGGAAGCAGGAATCGCGAGAATGCTTGAAGACTACGGATTTCAGCCACTGCAGCTTCCCACTGTTCCGCAAGTTTTCTGTACTCGGTTGCTGCCCGATCAGCAGCAGCTCTGTCGGTGATGGTTGTAGAATCCTGTGCGGCATTGGAAACGAGCTTGCTCAGCTCCAGATAATTGTGCGCCAGTTTCGGATTGGCTGACTCGAGATCTTCAACTGGAGTCTTGAGTCGAGAGGCCAGAGACCACTGCTGGCCGGCCCTGCTCTACGAGTTCAATTGCGTGTCGTAGATTGTCATAGCGGATGGCACATGATGCTGCATCTACAGGCAGCAATCTGGCATAATGGAAGGCAGCGGCAGCTTCGCGCCGTGAAATGGTGGATGATCGTGTCGCCAAATGACCATCAAGAAGCTCGAAAAATGTCACGTAGGCTTCTAGCGCAGAAGCATGACTGAACCTCTCTGCTGTAACAGTCCAATTGTATGCATTAACAAGACGGGCCGGAAATCCTTGAGTAGGGTGTCTTGATGCAAGTCTGAAGTTCTCCACTGCAAGTGCCAGATCGGCAGGCTTGTACTGCACACAGTAACGAGACATATAGGCTTCCTGTAGCCTGAAATAGGAGTAGTATCTGCTTGGGTGGAGTGAAGACAGAACCGCCAGTGATTCTCGGCAGAGTTGAATGGCTTCCTCGACATCTTCATTCTTCTGAGTGTGCGTGAAACGAGAGCAGAGCACCGAGCTCAAATTAAAAAGAGGCACATGGCGTTCTGGATGGTCAAGCTGCGTTAACCGGAGGGATTCGCGATACAGATCAATGGCCTCATTAAGATCCTCGCTGACATGCAATTTGTTATATCTGGTTTTGAGCGCATGGGCAAGGTTGCTAAGCGTGGTGCCACGATGTGGCTGCCCAAGTGGGCGCAACGTCAGTGCCTCGCGATGGAGGCTGATAGCTCGGGTGATGTCATCAATGTCCTTGCAGTTTGTTGAAACGGGCGACGAGGGCGCCCCCTAGGTTGTTCAATGGGGTATCACGATATTTGTGCCCAACAGGGCGCAGGCGCGGCGCCTCTTCGTACAAAGAGATGGCCTCATCGAGGTCATTAGGTTTGCCTTGGTGATCGAAGCGGAGCTTGAGTGAGAAGGCCAAGTTGTTCAGGTAGTAATCGCGGTTAGAATGTCCCTCGGGGCAAAGAGACACTGCTTCACGAAGAAATCACATGCTCTCATCTAAATCATCAATGTTGCCGCGTTGTGTAAAGCATGATCTGAGAGCCCATGCAAGCTTGTCAAGTGCTCTTGGACGGAGTTGATGGCCCTGAGGACAGAGCTCGAGGACGACTCGTCGAAGGCAGATGCCTTCGTCAGATGCGTCTATTGGAAGATTGTTGCATCCGCCGATCACATAATCAACACCATTTGGCCCTGCCGCAATGCTACGAAGGTAGGTGCCCTCTGGACAGAGAGGCAGTAGCTCATGATAGAGTTGGGCGGCTTCGCGGGCGTCGGCAGCAGTACTTTTCTTGTTGCGGCGCAAAGGCAGCGCTTCGGTGAGATTATATAGAGATAAGGGATGATCGGGATGGCGCTGCGGACGCAATGCAAGGGCTTCGCGGAAGAGGGAAGTGGTGCCATCAATGTCTTGAAGATCATTTCGGACGTAGCCTTTAAGGCGGGCGCATGCGAGATTGGTGAGAGCAGCTGCGTGGTCCGGGTGGCTGACCGGACACTGGGCTAGAACCAACTGAAAATGCTGCACAGCAGCCTTCAAGTGAGATACCCTCTTGCGTGTCACGTATTTGGCAAGTCGTGCATGGCTCGCATCTGTGTCTCGAGCAATCTTGCAGTCTACGAGGGTCTGCAGTTGGTGTTCCGTCAGCAAAAGCTAACAGAGACCAGCGTCACTCACATCAGACAGTGCATCATCGCAAGCATGTACAACGGCAACCTTCAGTGTGAGGGATGGGTGGACACCGCGCACGGATGGGAAGGATAGGTCTACGAGCTGTTAGTATATGTGCGTGAATGAGAAGTATGTTACTAACCGAATGGCTCATCTCCATGTGCCACGACAATTGAAGTTTCCCGATGAGTTCTCCACTGCCTAGCATTCGATCGGCCTCATAGGACGCCCTGATTTCGACCGAGAATGCCGGTGATGCCTGGGGTGATCTATAAACGGAAGGTCAGTTCTCGAATCATGCGCGGAAGTTACCAAGGACTTTACAGGGTCACAGTATCGACCCACGCTGCTGATTCTTCAGATGATAAGACACTGATGGCCGATTTCCAGCGTCTCCGGGAGTCGACATTGATGGATATGTAAATACCAGCGGGCATGCGCTCCGAAGGGACTTTAAGATCCTTTCCACAGAGAACTGTAGATAGAGCATAAGAATCATGAAACGGACACAAAGGCGACATGGAATAACCCGCTTTCAAGTCTAACATATCGTTCTTCTAAGCTACTATGTGTGATGGTGGGACGAAACAAACGACGAACGACACGCAGCATCTGAAATTGAGAGGGGTTCAGAATGAGTGGTAGGAGAAGGCTGAGGGTGGGCAAAATGAGTGGAACTGTGAATGGAGTTTGACTTGGAGAGAGAAGAGAAGACGTTGAGGCATGAGGTGCTGTATCACGGTGTATGTCCATGTTGTCGAGGGCGATAGACGCTGGTATGATTGCACCTGGCAACAATATTGAAGACTGCGGGCAAAGAAAAGCTGCATGATGATCCTATACGACTCGCCCAGTGCGAGAGCACAATATTGTGGATTTGCGAGACCATATGACAAGTTGCGATGTCCACTGAGTCTGACCCTCCTGGGGGAAACTCCGAAACCACCGCTGTGTTATTCGTCACCCACCTTTCCATCATGATCCTCGGCATCACGACTACCGTGCCTCTCGTCGATACTACCGTGTCCAGGTCATACCGAAGTGCTCGGATTACTGGTCAGTCTTCGGCCGGTGCCTTTGCTGCATCCAGAAATCCAATACCACTTCTCCGAGCTTTACGTTCGCTAACAGCGGTGCGCCGGTACATGATGCATGAGGTGCGGCTACAATCGAAACTACATAGCCAGAGGCTCTGCCATACATCATCATGACACATTGATATTACCGCTCAAGTCTTTTATATGTATAGTAAGCTGGCGAAGATGCCCACACCTTCACGCATCTACCAGGGGTAGATTTTATTTTTGTCATGGCTTCAAGCATTTCGTTGGATGCCGGTTCTTTACTAGCATTGGTACTGGAAGGGGTTACATACGGTGAGCATCACAAGGCCTATGCCCGCCGGCAAGCTAAAGTCTCCTCCCCAGGATTTTCAGTTCTCATGTTTATCGGTACTATCTGGGCTTTGACCTACAAACAGCGCATGCAGGATGTCAGTCGCCAAATCGCTGTGGTGGCCATCTTGTTGTTGATACTGAGTACCGTGGTAAGCCCTTCTTGCTTCATACATCTATTGTGATTTGTTGACTTTCTCCAAGCACATCGTCGTAGACATCGTTCGTGCTGAAGATGGACTAGTGAAAGATCGCAACACGTTCCCGGGTGGGCCAGTAGCGTTCTTCGCCGACCTTACGCAACAAACAGTTGAGATCAAGAATGTGTTATACGTCTTGCAAACCCTACTGGCTGACGGGGTA